CGTTCATGGCCGACGTCTTTCGAAGGCTGCTGCTGCTGCTCCTGATAATCATTTTGTTTGTCCTTCTAATCGTCTTCCACGTCTGCATCCTCGGCAGGCTGTCTGGACGCACACGCAAGAGGCACCTGCAAAGAAGGGCATCATCATGGACGGACGATAGGGGAAGAGCAGGTCTTCGGTGAACCACTCCATGAGCCACCGTGCAGACTACGTCCCGGCTCGCAGTGCAAGGGCGTACGATCTGTTAGAGTGTGTGTGTCGTATCCCATACTCCCTTCATCGTCGCCGTTCGGTGGATCTTCACCGCCGTCGTGGAATAACGGCCCTGTCGTACGTGTCATTGATAGTCGATCTCTATTGAAGGTTGCCACTACTGCTCCTAGTCACAATTTTGCTTGTCATGGTCCTCCTGTTCCACGTGTCCATCCTCTATCGTTGATGGTCGGCCTCTATCAAAGGCCTCCACCAGAGAAGACAAGGGATCGACACCGACTGCAGTCAACATCGACATCGACAGTGCGTCCCGCGGGCATTCGTCCACACTGGATGCAATCGCCATCCCCCTAAAGACACGTGGCGACATACATAGCTTCTCCCAGAAGTACTCCTCCGTCACATCATCGCATTGCCTGAGATCCGCCCACGCCCCCCCCCGTCAATCGTGGAAAAACATTGCAACCCATGGCGCAGCAAACCTGAACTACAGCCTCGAAGATGGCCATGGTATCCAGCCCTTCGACCAAGACTTGATGAAGCATCTTCCTCCTCCAAGCGTGGATTTGTGCTCTCATTCTGCCCAATGCCCTCTCCTGCTGACAATGAAAGAGCATGGTCGTCACGGCCACCTCCACGACCGTCTTCTCGATCGTCGTCAACTTCACACGTCCATCATCGCTGCTGCCCTCCATCGGCACGTGTATTGCAATGCTCATGAACCACGAAAATACAACAGCTTACCAACTCGCCACGACCACGGTAACCTCAGCACCAAGTCGCCGACGACGTTCCCCGCGTGTGCTCGACTCCACACATATGCGCAGCGGCAGGAGGAGGCGATGGCGATGGACCTTCGCGGGGCGCTCATAAATTCGTAATGACTTACGAAGACTCCACTGCGCCACTGCAAATGCCTGTTTCCACCGTCGCCAATATGGACGCCACCTGCCCCGCGTCACTGTTGTGAAGTCCAGCACCCAATTTGAAATTTGATATTCGAACGGGGAGGTCCATTGCTTTTTAAGGGGTTCCTTTTTTTCCCGTCGCCGGCGCCTTTCAAAATTTCCCGCCTTCGGCAGCTGGACCACAACGTTGCGAGACAGACATCACCCAATGGACCAAGGCATTGCTCCCCCAGTGGCCGACTATAATATTATGAAAATCGCTACTGGGGGCCAAAAGGAATCATCCTTGGGAGACCACCCCAAAGATAGGTGGAACGACGGCGGGAATTTCCTTCAAAACGCTGAAGGAAACTTCCTTCGGCCCCGAGGACGCCCCAAGGAGTGTCGAAGGAGCCCCCAAGCATGAACCAAATATCTCCCACAACAGTCTAACAGAGAGTGGGTGCTACACGTTAAGAAATTACAGAATTCCAAGGATGTCGAGCTGTGGTGACATGGCCCCCAATACAACAGACACGCAACCATTAGGTTGCACGAAAGACTGGCAAAAACAGTGGATTGACAACGAGACCAAAACAGGACCTAAACAAACGAAAACGGTTGGGAACACACATACACATGCCACATTTCCTTCCCCCCCCATCGGTTTCCCTCTGCTCTGTTCCCCCCCAGTGCACCAGAGTGATATAGCCATGGAGACAAGCTGACGGAAGGGTTACTGTTACATACTACATTCCACACGGGCCGTTTCAGGCCCGACGACTAGGCTGAGGGGTACCGAGGGCCCGGACGCAATAATCCAGGCCACGCAAGCCCAAAGGCCGGACCTTTTAGGCCACCCCTTTGGCCTTGGGCAACCGGTTCTAGACCAGGCCCAGCAGGCCCTGGGCGGGAAAAAGGCAAACGTTCCGTTTGGACCAGGCCGCCATTCAGGCAGCCTGCTTCCCGAAAACCGGTCCGACCTGAACCATGGATCGGACGATAGATCTGACGGTTCAGATCGCAGGCCATCGTGGGAAGCAGAGGCCGAACTGGCCGCCGGCCGGTATTTAGGCCCAGCCAACGGCCATTTCGGGACAGAGAGAGAGGACGACAGCAGTTGAGGAACGCTGCGCTAATCTTGGTTTAGCGCAGCTCCAAGCACAGCAGCGCTGATTAGCGCTGAGTGACGGCTAGAGGTGGCAGACGGACACTTACCGGCTTACCTGCGCAGCGCCATAGCTCCAGGTTGAAGCTGCGGGTCTTCAACAGTTCCAAGGCGCCAGCCTGCATCTGCAGGTAGGAGCCTGGGCGCTGACTCACCACCTCCTTTCCTACTCTGTCCCTCTCGGATCTCTTCTTCTTCCTCTTCTCCTCCTTCTCCTTCTTCTTCTTCTTCTTCTTCTTCTTCTTCAGACTGGAGACTTTGATACGAGTTGGACAGAGATCAGTGATTGGACTTCGGTGGTAGGAGACTGTGATACTTACCGGATTCGAGACATTGGAGATAGTTGGGATTGATACCAGGCGGCATCACAGATTGGACACCGGTTACATTAGGATTCTGTACCTCCGACATTGGTGACTTATTGCCCACGACATTCTTTGTTCGGTGACATTTTGGGCTACCATATCGGTGACCTTCTGGATTCTATCTCGGTGACATCTGGCGCTGCCTATACCTCCCACCTCCATCGTCTCTCCTCCCGCCATTCATCCGTGTATGATTGTACGGGGCCTGAAGCATCGTCTATGATTGGCTTCAGACCCCACCATCTCACGATTGCTTGTGTGGTGAGTGATGTCTGGGTGAGTTCAGTCCATGTGAGTCAGTCCATTTCTCAGACTTCCACTGTATACATGCTCATCCTATATTGGTTGATCTTTGGTTTTGCCCATACTTGGTGAAGTATTCACGAGTATGCAACGGTCCTTTGGAGACGAACTGAAGGGTTCCAGCTCTCACTTACTTCATTGCCCCAGACACACAGCAACGGGTCATTATAGCTGTGTATTTAGTACTGTGAGGAATATGCCCTCACAGGACCCTAGCCAACATGCACATGAACTGGGCTGTGGCCCCCAGCAAGCCTCGTGCCCGCCCTAAGTGAAGGCGGGCCTGAATATCCAAAGAGGCCCTTATCTCAGCATTTTCCAATGTGGGTATCAGACAGTTGCAGCACACCAGTTGGTTGAAGTGCAACGTGAGCCTCTCTCTGGACTCCTTCCAGAAACAGCAGCTGCGTCAAGCAGTTGAGCCCAGGGCCGGGTGGTTGCGCCCTGGGTACACGCAGTGTGAGGCCGGCACATCGCGAAGTGGCCGTGGGCGAATCAGAAAGCAGCATTGTCGTCACAGAGGCCCAATGAGCCAATGAGAAGACGGCAAACACTTGGAGCCTGGAGGCTCCCTGGACGTGGCCAACCAGAAAGGGCCCAGGCCCCAACAACTGTCAGACAGGGCCTGGACGCAGACACTGGGGCCAGACTGGAAGCTACTGGGAGCTTCCTCAGCCAGGCCCACACAGCCAAACAGAGGCTGCGACTTCCATATAGGAAGGTCGCTGGCCAGAGGCTGGGTATTCTGGCCTATGCAGGCAATGCGGACACGCTGCTGCGTTGCTACACAAGTGTCTGCATGCTCGGGCGCACACGGGCGCTGCAGGGCAGTGGGCACACGGCAGCCATAGCCGGGCTGCCGGGGCGCATGCGGGTGATGGGCAGAGGTGGTCTTCGGGTACGAGGCGCATGAGTGGGTGGTCAAGGTCTGATGAGGGGAGGAGAGACAACGTACCTGGTATATGTGGAGGGCCGGCATTGGTGTTGACTTTATGTACATTGGTCTTCAACGTCGGAAGTGATCCTGTTGCACGAATGTAGATAGGCTACATGGGCTCAGTAGAGTAGGCTGGGCGCTGGGTGCCAGACAGAGATGAGCAACATTGGATACTGTGTTGGTGGGGCCTGAGGGCGATAACATTGACACAAGAGTTCACTGCTTTGCTCTTATTTGGATGGAATCTTGGTGCATTTGAGCTCTCTGCTTGGTACATGACTATCTGGACTTCTGCGTGGTTTTGCAACTTGTATTTCTGTCTATCGCTCTCGCTCATATTCCTTGCAGTACGATTTTCAGGGAAAATACAGATATAATCACCAGGCAGGAAAACAAAGGTAAGCTTCAGGCCAGTGTGCCGTCTATACTACCCTATAGTCATCCCAAAACACGATGCACTCAACCATATGCAGCAAACACACTCTCAAAATCTTGTGCAGCTCCCTATGCTCTGGAAAATGTGTTTACTCAAAAGCAAAGGCATGGGGAAGAAGGGGGGGGATTGGCAAACAAAAAGAAGAAGCGGAAAAAAAGGAGGGAAAAAAAATGGGCACTCTTGTCATCTTTTCATTTCACACCTTACCACAGCACACACGGAAAAGAGCAGAACTGAAGTTGAAACATGAAAATAGAAAACGGAACATCTGTGTGAAACGCCTTCAACTGCTTTCTAATCGACACCCAAACGAGCGCTCCCCACCCGCCCCTTCTTTAAAATAAAATAAAAAATAATAAAAAAAACAAAGACGTTAAAGAATTGTGTCAAAAGTCTTTTTTTGTGTGTTCAGTTCCGAGACCACAAGCTGCACGCGCAGGAGCTAACCAACACCGTGACCAGAAAACATCCACAAACCGGTAAGGAGGCAAGAAGGGGAGAGTCAATCCAAAAAATTCCGCACAGAATTGTCAGTAGAGTCAGTAGACACAAAACAGATGGTTTTCTGCACATCCCAAGTTTCCCGTACGAATGCGCAATACTCATTTTAAATTTTAATAAAGAAAAAAACAGAAAAAGAAAACACAAAGGTTTGAGGGCTCTATTGATGGATAACTAAAACATAGCGTACCAGCAGGAGGAAATTTTGATGCAGGCGTAGCTTGTGGAAACGCCCATGAGAGGTTGCTACTTTTCTCATTCCCATCCCTGCTCGTCCTTCTCTCATCAGGGAATATCTGTGTGAAATGAAACGTAGGTGATATCTCTAAACCCTCTCCAGCTCTTCCTGCTCTCAGAATGACAACCATCATCACATCCAAAAAAACAAAGCCAACAAAAAATTAGCAAAGAAATGATGAAAAATGATTCAAAATCATGAAACTTAAAATAGAAATTTATTCAAAATCATGAAACTTAAAATAGAAATTTATCTCATAAAATTGTCTCTTCAACCAATGACATCCATTATTATATCTTACCTCAAGTGGAAGGATCACGACTGCCAGTGCACACAATCTGTGCCCGGGGTCCCCCAAAATAGGCCTTAGGCTGTAGAGTCCGGTAGGTTCCAGTAGGCATTAGGTCCTCGTCTGTAGGTAGGCCCTGAGACGACACAGGCCTAGACTAAACCGGTAGGCCCGGTCCAAAATCGGCTCCTGTTGCCCAAAAATAAGTCTCAGGCCCTGAGTCCCAGTCGCAGCAACATTTCAGGAGATGTACCTGTACCAGGCCAGGCAAAAAGTGAGCTATCGGCCCGTTACCTGAGGCTGAAAGGCTGAAAGGGCGAAGCAGCACTATAAATTCAGACGGGGAGTCCAGTCCAGGGGCTCATTCATTCGTGAGTGAAGTGGAAGCGCTGCTTGGCGACTTGTGCTGTGTCGCATTGGGGGGCGTAGGTGCTGGAGGTCTGCAGAGCGCCTGGAGAAGAAGAGGGCCTGGGGAAGGAGAAGGCCTGGCGGCCATAAGGGCAAAGCAGCACTATAAATTCAGATGGGGAGTCCAGTCCAGGGGCTCATTGACTCGCGAGCAAAGTGGAAGCGCTGCTTGGCGACTTGTGCGTGTTGCATTGGGGAGATAGGTGCTGGAGGTCTGAAGAGCGCCTGGAGAAAAAGAGGGCCTAGGGAAGGAGAAGGCCTGGCGGCCATAGCCGGCCACAGTAGTTCAGTGTAGGATATTCACGTATATCAAGTAATGAGTGGTAGAGAGAGAGAGACAGACGAAGAGAGAGAGGGAGTACAGTTCACCTATGTGTGGAGAGCCTTCTGCTGTGCGTTGAGTTGTGTTAAGGACTGGCACTGAGCGCCTGAAGACAGAATCTATGTTGTAACTTTCTTCAAGTGTGGCACTTATGATAATTTCGAGTTTTCAGAGTTTGGTGCGCTCTCTCTCATCATTGCATGTGTGCGTATAAGTGAAATCAAGTCAGGATCATTTCATTGGTATTGGAGCTGGTTGCTGTTATTCTGCGCTGAAGACTGGTTGCTTGAAAGTGAAAAGTTAGCCGCTGTATCTCTCCAAGAAGATTGAGGACCATCCAGATAAGGAGGAGGTGATTCAAAGTGGGAGGCAGCAGGAGAAAGGCCGGCGGGCAGAGAGAATGATAAGAAAAGAAAAGATAGAGAAGGAGATGCAATGAACCCAGATCGTGAAGACACTCGTCAACAATGCAAGCCCAGATGAATATCAGACTGCTGATGATTACCAATAATCAGAATCGTGTCCAGATAGAATGAGATGGGATAATCATACACAGACGAAGGAGAGAGGAGGGAGACTAGACAAAGGAGAGGAATAAAGTACAAGACCCACTCCTGCTTCGGGCTCACTCCTCGTTCACCACCTCAAGTAATCAATAGTCTGAACGCATATCTGAAGTCCTACTACAATGTGCCACGTGGAACGTCTAATCAGTCTCTCATCAGCACTGGAGCAATGTCTACATGAAGACAACCAGGTAAGTATCCACGATCTCTCCACAGTCCTGATCTCCTCGTGAGTGACGATGAATCAGAACAGCAGTGCCGGTCACATAGTCCCAGCCATAGAACACGTGGCAGTAGCCACGTTAGCAGCAACGCGTGGCAGCTGCCACATCAGCATGCCTTGAAGAGAATAGCCAGCCAGCCACCATGCCGAGCTAGCAGCGCGTCACCGCAATCTCCCAAATGCCAGCACAAAGCCAGCGTCCACCAGCGGCGCAGCGTCGAGCCAGCGTCGCGTCGTCAATGAAGTCAGCATTGACGCAAGACAGAATGAATGTCAAAGCCAGGAAGTCAGCGCTTATGTAGCGTTGACGCGGGGTCTGGAGCCCAAATGCGTCCAGATCTCAATGCAAACGAGGGCCCAGATTGGTCTGAAACGGAATTCCTTCCGGCCTGGATGCTGTCTGGGTACCTGCACACAACAAGTGAGTGTATCCAACCAAGGGCCTGGGCGCGGTACCTTTGACTCTACAGTTGACTTTGACCCTTGACTTTCCAGTGTGCAGCGTTTGGACACACAGACAAACGCAGCAGACTCAGGCCTGGGCGTGTCTTGGTCACACAGCCCAGTGCAGACCGACTCAGGTCTGCGTGGCCTGGGGCTGAGTTCTGGGCCCCAGGCTACTTCTGAACAGGGTTACTGCATTCCTGCCGGCCCATTTTCGAGTTCCACCGCAGAAATATTTAAGACTTTAACGCTCGTTCATAAGTAGCGACAATATCAGGAGCAGTTTCAAGTAGTTCTCGTTTACTAAACCATATGTGCTCAGATGGTGCCTGGGACTTAAAACGTACCTTGAACTGCTTCTGAGGCCGTCCACGTCCTCCCGTAGAAAAGTAACCATGTGCTATGATTTTGTCTACCTCATATCTGCCTTCCATAGATGGTGGAATCATAGAGGGTCTGTTTGGATATTCATTCCCTTCTACATAGGGCAACAGTTTGGAGTCTTTGGACGCGTGAAAGACAGGATATGTTTTGAGATGAGGGGGAATATCAATGCGATAAGACGGTCCCTCTGCATCTCCAATTACCTTGAGAACTTCCCAGGGTTCAAAATAGATAGGAAGCAATTTCTGGGACACATCTTTCTCTAGTGAAAACTCTTTAGATTTTACCCAAACCAGATCACCCTCTTTGAATGTAAACGGTCAACGGTGCTTGTTGGCTTGTTCAATCATCCGTAGTTGAGCTTTCCTTAGATTATCTTTAACTTTCGGAATGTCCTCCTGGAACGATATTGCATATTCTCGGGTCCCTGGGGGCAACCTAAGGAACTGGTCCCGGTTTAGTACATCAATGAGACGTTTAGGTTTCCACCCTTTATGAAGTGCATTCGGTGTTTGTCATGTGGAAGTATGAACACTGTTGTTATATGCACTCGCAATTTCGGGTAAGTTCTCGTCCCAATCCATCTGATCGGGTCTAACATACATGCGCAAAAGCTGCTGGCACAGACGGTTTATCTGTTCAGTCTGGCCATTCGTTTCGGGATGGTTCCCTGATGACATGGTCAGCCGCGTGCCATAAGCTTCCATCAGTTTTTGCCATGGCAGACTAGTGAACCTGACATCTTGATCAGACACAATGGATTTAGGGAGCCCATACTCAGTGACCCATCGCATCTGAAACTTATGAATGACAAGTTCAGTACGCGCTTCTGCTGGTAAGGGAACAAACATAGCGTATTTAGATAAACGGTCTACAATTACCATCACTTGACTATTACCATTGCGACTTTTAACCAGACTGATGAAGTCAATTGAGATAGACTCACCTGGTTCGCTTGGTATAGGTAATGGCTTGAGAAATCCAAGAGGATTCTCGTGCGACGACTTGTTTCTCTGACACACTAAACAGGTACGAACATACGTTAGTACATCTTCTTTAAGTCCCTTCCATCTAAAACGTTCTCTGACTTCAGCATATGTTTTCTTGAAACCAAAATGACGCTCTGAATCGTGACATTCCCCAATCAACAGACTCTTAATCTCTTCCTTATGAGGTATACACAATTTTTGTTCGGTTTGGTCAATCAAGAACAACAACCCATCAGTCAGTCTATAGTTGGGTAGTTGGGACGGATCTCATACAAGGATATCCATGATTGGTTTCCAGATAGGATCAGTAGCATATCCTTGGCGAATTTGGTCTTTCAGGTCATTCCCAACATCCAAGTAAGAGACAATTGCACGAAAGAAATCATTGCGTCGGGACAAAGCATCTGCAACCACATTAGACTTACCTTTGATAGTCTTAAGTTCAAAGTCAAAGGTGTCAATGAATGCAGACCATCTTACCAACTTGTCAGAGAGTCTGGACTATGTTTTTATCCACTTTAGTGTTGAGTGGTCTGAGTACACAGTAAAGTGTCTCCCTGACAGGTAGTGCCTCCATGTGTCCAACGCACAGACTAAGGCATAGAGTTCTCTTTCATACGTGGAGTTGGCGACTTTGTCACACGGCTGTCGTTTAGACATAAATTATATGGGCCTATAGCCCTTGCCGTCATCTTGTTGGAGAACAACGTCAATTCCAAACTGACTTGCGTCAGTGGTGACAATGAAAGGCAAAGACGGGTCAACAATCTTAAGGACAGGGTAGTGAGTCTGTGCATACTTCAATTTCCGAAAGGAAGACTCACAGACCTTATCCCACAACCAAATAGTTTCTTTCTTTAACAATCTTCGCATTGGTGCAGCAATCAGTGAGAAGTTTCTGACAAACTTCCTATAATAACTAGCTAGACCAAGGAAAGATCGCAGTTCAGTAATAGACTTAGGTTGTGGCCAATCTCTAATTGCTGATATCTTTTTCTCTTCCGGCCTAACCCTCTTCGTTTATTATGTGTCCTAGGTATAATACTTCAGACTTGGCAAACTCAGACTTCTTTGAGTTAATCTTAAAGTTGCCCTCACGCAACTTTTCTAGCACCAGACGAAGGTGCTTCTCATGATCCTCTAGTGTTTTACTATACACTAGAATATCATTGAGATAGACAATGACAAACTTATCCAACCATTGACGAAACACATTAACCTTTGAAAAGTGGCAAGGGCATTTGTTCATCCAAAGGGCATTACCACGAACTCATAGTGGTCATACCTGGTCCGGAAAGCGGTCTTATGCTGATTGGAGGGTTCCACCTCGATCTGGTGATACCCAGATTTCAAGTCGATTTTGCTGAAGTACTTGAATCCTTGTAAGTGGTCAAGTAAGTCGTCAATGCGAGGAAGTGGTTCAGCCTTCTGAACAGTGACGGCATTCAACCCTCTGTAATCTATACAGAGACGTAACTCACCT